GATACTGTGCTTTTTCTTGGGTTCCCAGAGTACTATAAGCCAAAGCCTCAGGCTGCTGTAGAGGCCCCCTGCTCCCTTAAAGATGATAGTTTTGGAAGCCCTACGGGGCAGTTCTACTCTGCCCTATAGGGTCACCATGAATCAGAATCGACTCAGTGGCAATGGGTTTGGTTTTGGGTTTAATACAGTTATCACTGTTTTCATCTTTCTATTTTGGGAGAACTTGGATACCTGCATTGGGTAGTACCCAATTCACAACCACAGCAGTTGAGATCCTTCTGAATCCATCTATTTCTGGATCAAGAGAATATTGGGTCCATGGTTTCATTCTAGTTTTCTTTGTGCTTCTGTTCAACTTCTCTTTTAATTTTCTCTTGTTATATCTTGTCTACGTTGTTGTTGTTAGGTGCCATCAAGTCAGCTCCAATTCACAGAGACCCTATGTGCAACAGAGCAAAACACTGCCTGGTCCTGAGACACCCCTACAATCCTTGCTATGTTTGAGCCCAATGTTGTAGCCACTGGGTCAATCCATCTTATTGAAGTTCTTCCCCCTTTCCATTGACCCTCTGCTTTACCAAGCATGATAATCTTCTCCAGAGAACTGTTCCTTCTGACAGCATGACCAAAATAGGTGAGACAAAGTCTGGCCATTCTCACTTCTAAGAAGCATTCCAACTGTACTTCTTCCAGGGCAGATTTGTTCATACTTCTGGCAGTCCATAGTATTTTCAGTAATCTTTGCCAACTTCACAATTCAAAGGCATTAACACTTCTTTCTTCCTTATTCATTGTTCAGCTTTCACATACATATGAAGTGATCAAAAATACTATGGCTTGAGTTAGACGCACTTTAGTTTTCAAAGTGACATCTTGCTTCTTAATGCTTTAAAGAGGTCTTTTGCAGCAGATCTGCCCAATGCAATACAACCTTGGTATAGAATCTTGTCTATAGCTTGTATGTATATGGAATGAGGCAGTGAGCAAAATAAGAATTTACAGTGCCATCCTGACTGGATATTTTATCAGCTAGTGCAATAGAATTTTAAATGAAATATTCAAAAATAGCATCAATGGCCCTTGATAGAGTAGATAGAAATTTAGTCTAAAAAAATTGAATGTGAGGTAAGTTGAGCACATTCAGGTGGACATGAGTTACATTAAGTTGCAAATAAGGTATAAATGATAAGGTCAGATGTTAAAACTGCAGATATAGATTTGGGAATCAAAGAAGTGAAGAAAAAAGTAAAATTACAAAAAAAGGCTTAATAATAATAACTTTCAAAGTTATACATGAAATCAGAACCACCTTATAAATCATTAATTTCTACTCTACTTTTGATGATACAATAGATCCTTCTTCTTCTTAATGCTATATTTAGCTTGGGGATCCATTCCTACAATTATAAGATTTTATGGTACTTTGATGAATATTAATGTATTCATTTATTCACAAATATTAATTATGCTCCTGCTAGTTACTGAACACTCTAAAATGACTTGGGAATTCAAAGATGAATAATAAATGGTCCTTTCCCTCAAAGAATTCAAATTTTATTAAGGAAATCAGCCCCCCCAATACCTCAAAACAAGTCACCACCCCACTGTAAGGTAAATGCTATAATGACTATAGGTGCAAAGTGCCTTAAAGGCTTTCGTGAGGGAAGACTAATTCTTATTTGATGTGGTCTGTAAAGAGGCAATTACAGAGGCTTCACAGAAGAGGTAGAATGTTGGTTGCATTCAGAATTTCTATAATGAGAGGTATTTAGTTGGAAGTGGGATATAGGGATCTTAACTTATATTTATATCAAGCACAACAGTTTTACTTAGGTTGTAGATTTATTTTGGACACCTCTGGGGAAGCTAATGGAAATATTTCCTCCTTTAGTTTCTTCTACCTCTCCCTCTTCTACCCAAAAGAAAAACCCAAAAATTCATTGCCATCAAGTCAATTCCAACTCATAGTTACTTCCATTGGGTTTCCAAGGTTGTAAATCTTTATAGAAGTGGATTGCCTCATCTTCCTCCCATGGAGCAGCTGGTGGGTTTGAACCACTGACTTTTCAGTTAGCTGCCAAATGCTACCAGAGCTCCTTCTAACATATCCACACTTTCCTAAATCACTTAATGAGCACATGAGTGTTGTCAACTGGCAATGAGGAGCATTACATTCAAAGTAAACGGTTCTTGACATGAACAAAGATGATAGTATAGGGCAGTTTTAGAAAAGAGTAAATAGACTGATGTGGTCAGGAAACAGGATTAACAATAACAAATTTGGGGATAGAAAGATGGCCTCCTGATGGACTGTGAGGGTTCTTGCACTGTATGCTAAAGAGATTGAACTTTTCTTTTGGGTAACAAATGAGACCTTGAATGGTGGTAATGTTGGAGAGTATGGTCATCCCATTTGCAATCTGAAATACAGACATTCAAAGCCATGCAATGGAGAAGAAAACTAAACAAAACAAGACACTAGACTGAGAAAGACCAATCAGGAAGATATTAGGAGTCTATGTAAAAGATAATGACTGCTAGATTGTATTATCAAAGGAATGTTGTTAGGTACTGTCAAGTCCTCAAGTCAGTTCTGACTCATGGTGACCCCATGTACAACAGAACGAAACATTGCGCAGTCTTGCACCATCCTCACAATCGTTCCTATGTTTAATCCCATTGTTGTAGCTACAGTGTTAATCCATCTCTTTGAGTGTCTCCCTCTTTTTCATGATTGCTCTACTTTCCAAAGCATGATGTCCTTCTCCAGGGACTGTTCCTGCCTGATAACATGTCCAAGGTATGTGAGACAAAGTCTCACCATCCTTGCTTCTAAGGAGCCACTCTAGCTGTATTTCTTCCAAGACAGATTGTTTCTTCTTCCAGCAGTACATGGTATATTCAATATTCTTCACCAACACCATAATTCAAATGCATCAATTATTTGGCCTTCCTTATTCATTGTCTATTTTGCATGCATATGAGGTGAGTGAAAATACCCTGGCTTGGGTCACCTTGATCCTCAAAGTGACATCTTTGCTTTTGAATACTTTAAAGAGGTCTTTTGCAGCAGATTTCCTCAATGCAACACATATCAAGGGAATTGTTATTGTTGTTGTTATGTGCCGTCGAGTCAGCCCCTACTCATAGCGACCCCTCCTTGGGTTTCCGAGGCAGTATCACTACGGAAGTAGGATTGCCCAACCTTCCTTCCGAGGAGTGGCTGGTGGGTTTGAACTGCCAGCCTTCTGGTTAGCAGTCAAGTGCTTTAGCCACTATGCTACCAGAGCTCCTTTATCAAGGGAATAGGGGGATTTAAAACACCATAATATATATTGTTTACAATGTAGGTAAACCTAACTTTGAAAAGCTACAATAGAGTAAGACTTCCATTAATACTTATTTTCTGATATTACTCTTTTTAGTCAGAAATTTCAGTGCAACAGAGGTTCCCCTAGTTGAGATACAAATGTGCTGGAACTGTCAGCATTATGTTCAGTGCTTGATGCTATATCTTCCAGAGATTGAGATTACTGTTTTCGTTCTATCAGTGATTTTATGTATCACATCTAAGAGAGTTAAGGGGTGATTTGGGCATGTGAAAGATTAATTCACTATGTCAGGGGCTCTTATGTTGTCATTATTAAAAACATGCAAACATTGGCATTTTTGTATCACATCTAAAAGAAAAAAAAATTTGCCATTTGGGTAAAGAAATAAGCTATTCTTCCCTCCAAACTAGCACATATATTTTAATAAAAGAAATTGCAAATTGAATAAAAACACAGCTTCTGGATAAAATCTATGTCCCAGGAAAAAGCAGGTTTCCTAAATTGAATATTGTTTTTTAATTAAATAATTTAATATTAATCATAACCTTAAATGATGTCTCTGTTTCTACAATAGCATGCCAACTGAGGGAAAAGTAGAGATTAGCTGGCTAGAAACAGTGTTTCTACAAACTACTGTACAAAGTCATATAAGGTAAGTCTGTATACCATGAGGAAAATTTCTCTTTGTATCTTCTCTGATCCAGATGAGGATCTAGAAGGCTTTTCCTACATTTTATTATCACCAAAGTGATAATGTTTATTGAGCTCTGAGCAATGCATTAGACACTATTTTAGGGACATCATATAGGGCATCTTGCTTAAATTCTGAAAAACACTTAAAATGTGAAGAATTCTTATAAGACTGATGTTCATTCAGCTTTAGATTCGTAAAGGCTTAGAAAACAGGAAACATCTTTACGGGTCCAAGAGGGATCTCTCACCAAGGGTATATAAAAATTCCCCCTGAAATCCCAGATACTCCTATAACAGTTTTAGAGTGAGTACCTAGGTGTGTGGTTATTGTTCCTAGTTAAGAAAATTCCTAGGAGACTGTCATCTAAAATAGAATAAAATAAAATAAAGAATCAAATCATAAAAATCTGTGCTAAGTATGATTCAAAGGGAAAAAATGAGCTGCAGTGAAAGCCAATTTGAGCTGGAAAGACTTGTACTCTTAAGTAACCAGACATGTGTAGCCACTTAGGAAGCCATCTGATTACATATGGTTTTTTAACATCTGTCAGCAGAAGCAGAACTCCACATGCAAAATACAGTACCCATGAGCACTGTGGAGGCTGGTTCAACTCTGAAGAAGACTCAGAATCTGACAGAATGCACAGACGCCACAGGTTGAATACAGGTTGTTGTTAATGGTGAGCTGAAGAAAACTTGGGAAGCAGTTCCCACAGGCTGTGACTCATTGGCTTGAACATTAATATCTTAAGGACAGAATTGAAACAACATTAAAACCTGAGGATCCCTGAGGAAAACTATGTCAGTAAATGCCAAGGAACAAAAGAAGTGAGAAGCCGATAGCTTAATTTATGGTTTCAGAACTTAAAGCTGAGCCTAACCTCTCTCCTTTTTTGCTAAAAAATACTCAGTCACATTTCCCCCCACTATTAAAAATTCCCCATCTCCAAAGTGCAAACAGAGTTCCTTTCAAACCTGCAGCATTTGTTCTTCCTCTGAAGATATCATCATATGCTTTCCACTGTGGCTTCACCTGGTAGGCGTGAATGAACACCACAAACACGACCACAAGGCACATTAAAGGAATGAGAGTAGCGGCGAACAGAGCAGCATAGATGTTTGGGATGAAACACCTGAGAGAGAGATGAAAATGGATAATTTAGCCAACAACAATACAAACATTTCTAAATTTATGACACATAATACTAGGTTTTTGTATCTATATGTTGGCAAAAGCAAATTTTTGGTTTGCCAAATTGGAACTCTGTTTGAATATGATGAAATCTAGACCATTCTTTCACAAAGCAGGTTACCTCTTGAGGTGTTCATAAACATTCAAATAAGTTATGGCTAAAAATATTAGAGAAATGTATATTATTTAATCTTCTTGGAGATTCAGGTTACATACGTGTGTTTTAAAAAAAGGGCTAAGGAAATTCATGGAGTGAATAAATCTGGGCTCTAGAATCAGACTGCCTAGCACTGAATCCCAGCATCACAACTTCATAAATAAATGACTTTAGGAAACATTTCATAACCTTTTTGTACCTTTCTCATCTTTAAAATAAGGTTTATAATGATATCCACAACAAAAGTTAGTTTTGAAGGTTAACTGAAATAATTCACATAAAACATTTAGTAAGTTTTGTTTAACCTACCATTTATAGACAAGACTCCTTCCTTTTCTTCCTCTCTATCTCTGTGTCACACACACACACACAAAAGGAGAGAGAGAGAGAAAGAGAGAGGGGGCGGGGAGAGAAAGTCATGCTCTAGGACTAGTGTCTTCTGGAACACATCCTAGGTATCACTGATCACAGACAGCTTATTTTTTCAAATTAGTTGGTGGATTGCAGGGCTCCTTTTCTTTCCCATCCTCTATTTAACCCCCAAAGAAGAAGAATGCTGTTAAGGTTTATGGTCAAAGGGCTAATGGTGGAGTCACTGTGTCTTGTCAAAAGTTGATCATGCCTGTCCAAGTTCTCTTGACTTGTTTGGCTCCCCAAGATGAGGGTAACAAGGGCTAGAGCATAGAAGGAGGCCAGGGCACCTCTGCTTTCTCTTTGTCTCCTCCCCTTCACTACCTCTTTTTTGTCTCCGTTTTGATTTTTCTTCCTAGGATGAGCCTAATAGTACAAATAAGGGATGAGGGATCATGTAACTATTGGAGAGCTAATAACAAAGTACAATTTTGCCTTTTTCTTCCAGTTCCATCCTCTTCACCTAAATTTATCTTGGAGAACACACGAAAGAAGATAATGTTTAATGGCAAATTTCAGGCTTCCCAAGGCTCCATTCTATCATTTTCATAATCTTTTTTTGAATGAATGACATCTTTGTCATTACTAAACAGTACATTTTCCCAAGTCATTTACTCTCAAAAGTGAATAACAGTTTTCCATTTGGGAGCTATACTGCACAATTCTATTTACTATCATTGGTGTTTACATAGATCAGTGGAGTCTAAAGGAAACTTATTTACTTTTTAATTTTTTATGCAACATTGAAATTCCAAGAAAAAGTTTTAGAGATTTAATTGAAAATTTTTACTCAAGAGTCATAAAATCCTCTTTTTCTTTACATAAATCTATCAAAAATCTCAACACAGAGGAGTATTAGAAAGGTTCTAAATACCTAAAATTGCATTTTTTTAGAGGCAACAAAGGTGGATACTATTGCATTTATTGTCTTGCAATAATAGTAATAACAGTAATTTACAAGATACATACTTACAAGATGGACACTCAAGCTGAACACAGGTGGGAAGGCAAATGGGACTACACCCAAAAATATATAGAGATATGACAGAGGCTAACTCCACCTGTGTATTTATATGTGCCACAAATATATCCATGAATAGAGTAGAG